CTGAGCAGGCCCCTCAATCCCTCTGTTACAGTGTCACTATACCCCACTCCCTCTAACATGTAAACTCACTGAGCAGGCCCTCAATCCCTCTGTTACTGTGTCACTATACCCCACTCCCTCTAACATGTAAACTCACTGAGCAGGGCCCTCAATCCCTCTGTTACTGTGTCACTATACCCCACATCCTCTAACATGTAAGCTCACTGAGCAGGCCCTCAATCCCTCTGTTACTGTGTCACTATACCCCACTCCCTCTAACATGTAAACTCACTGAGCAGGCCCTCAATCCCTCTGTTACTGTGTCACTATATACCCACTCCCTCTAACATGTAAACTCACTGAGCAGGGCCCTCAATTCCTCTGTTACTGTGTCACTATATCCCACTCCCTCTAACATGTAAACTCACTGAGCAGGCCCTCAATCCCTCTGTTACTGTGTCACTATACCCCACTCCCTCTAACATGTAAACTCACTGAGCAGGGGCCCCAGTCCCTCTGTTACTGTCACTATACCCCACTCCCTCTAACATGTAAGCTCACTGAGCAGGGCCTCAATCCCTCTGTTACTGTCACTATACCCCACTCCCTCTAACATGTAAACTCACTGAGCAGGGCCCCTAATCCCTCTGTTACTGTGTCACTATACCCCACTCCCTCTAACATGTAAACTCACTGAGCAGGCCCTCAATCCCTCTGTTACTGTGTCACTATACCCCACTCCCTCCAACATGTAAACTCACTGAGCAGGGCCCTCAATCCCTCTGTTACTGTGTCACTATACCCCACTCCCTAACATGTAAAACTCACTGAGCAGGGCCTCAATCCCTCTGTTACTGTGTGTCACTATACCCCACTCCCCAACATGTAAACTCACTGAGCAGGCCCTCAATCCCTCTGTTACTGTATGTCACTATACCCCACTCCCTAACATAAACTCACTGAGTAGGCCCTCAATCCTCTGTTACTGTGTCACTATGGCCCCCACTCCCTCTAGCATGTAAGTCACTGAGCAGGGCCCTCAATCCCTCTGTTACTGTCATTATACCCACCTCCCTCTAACATGTAAGCTCACTGAGCAGGCCTCCTCAATCCCTCTGTTACTGTGTGTCACCATACCCCACTCCTCTAACATGTAAACTCACTGAGCAGGCCCTCAACTTCTTGTTACTGTGTCACTATACCCCACTCCCTCTAACAACATGTAAACTCACTGAGCAGGCCCTAAATCCCTGTTACTGTGTCACTATACCCCACTCCCTCTAACATGTAAACTCACTGAGCAGGGCATCAATTCCTCTGTTACTGTCACTATACCTCACTCCATCTAACATGTAAACTCACTGAGCAGGGTCCTCAATCCCTCTGTTACTGTGTCACTATACCCCACTCCCTCTAACATGTAAACTCACTGAGCAGACCCTCAATCCCTCTGTTACCGTGTCACTATACCCCACTCCCTCTAACATGTAAGCTCACTGAGCAGGACCCTCAATCCCTCTGTTACTGTCACTATACCCTACTCCCTCTAGCATGTAAACTCACTGAGTAGGGCCTCAATCCCTCTGTTACTGTGTCACTATACCCCACTCCCTCTAACATGTAAGCTCACTGAGCAGGACCCTCAATCCCTCTGTTACTGTCACTATACCCCACTCCCTCTAACATGTAAACTCACTGAGCAGGGCCCACAATCCCTCTGTTACTGTGTCACTATACCCCACTCCCTCTAACATGTTAACTCACTGAGCAGGCCCTCAATCCCTGTTACTGTGTCACTATACCCCACTCCCTCTAACATGTAAACTCACTGAGCAGGGCCCACAATCCCTCTGTTACTGTGTCACTATACTCCACTCCCTCTAACATGTTAACTCACTGAGCAGGCCCTCAATCCCTGTTACTGTGTCACTATACCCCACTCCCTCTAACATGTAAACTCACTGAGCAGGGCCCTCAATCCCTCTGTTACTGTGTCACTATACCCCACTCCCTCTAACATGTAACTCACTGAGCAGGCCCTCAATCCCTCTGTTACTGTGTCACTATACCCCACTCCCTCTAACATGTAAACTCACTGAGCAGGGCCCTCAATCCCTCTGTTACTGTCACTATACCCCACTCCCTCTAACATGTAAACTCACTGAGCAGGGCCCTCAATCCCTCTGTTACTGTGTCACTATACCCCACTCCCTCTAACATGTAAACTCACTGAGCAGGCCCTCAATCCCTCTGTTACTGTGTCACTATACCCCACTCCCTCTAACATGTAAACTCACTGAGCAGGGCCCTCAATCCCTCTGTTACTGTGTCACTATACCCCACTCCCTCTAACATGTAAACTCACTGAGCAGGCCCTCAATCCCTCTGTTACTGTGTCACTATACCCCACTCCCTCTAACATGTAAACTCACTGAGCAGGCCCTCAATCCCTCTGTTACTGTGTCACTATACCCCACTCCCTCTAACATGTAAACTCACTGAGCAGGCCTCAATCCCTCTGTTACTGTGTCACTATACCCCACTCCCTCTAACATGTAAACTCACTGAGCAGGCCCTCAATCCCTCTGTTACTGTGTCACTATACCCCACTCCAGTGGCGTACATACCAGGGTCGCAGGGGTCGCGGCTTCGACCGGGCCCGTCCCACCAGGGGGCCCGGCAGCCCCTGCGACCCGGTATGTACCCACAGGGCCAGCCTCTTCTCCTGGGGGGCCCAGGAGCCGGCCACTTCAGGGCCCCCCCGAGGCTGGCCCTGCTGTCACCGGGCGGACTGTCTGGGTGGTCGGCGCGCGAGGGAGCACTCTCCTTTGTGTGCTTCCTCTTCAGCTCCCTCGCACACCGCATTGATACCGAAGCCGGAAGATGACGTCATCCACCCACTGCCACCCAGACAGTCCGCCCGCCCGCGCAGCAGCACCACCACTGGACCCCAGGGAATCCCCCCAGCACTCCAAAAGCTAAGGAGGCTGGGGGGACTAAATTTAAAAAAAAACGTGTGTGTGTTTGTTAATGTGTGTGTGTTAGTGTGTGTGTTAGAGTGTGTGTCTGTTAGTGTGTGTTTGTGTTAGTGTGTGTGTCTGTTTGTGTGTCTGTTACTGAGTGTGTTTGATGTCTGTTAGTGAGTGTGTGTTTGGCAGTGAAAGTGTATGTTTTGTAAGTGAGTGTGTATGTATGTCTGTCGATGAGTGTATCTCTGTCAGTAAATGTGTGTGTCAGTTAGCTAGTGTGTATGCATCTGTTCGTGAGAGTGTGTGTGTGTGTCTTCAGCATTTACCTTTCTCCAGCGTCGGACTCCCTTGGCGCTGGGGATCCCTCCGCCTCTCAGCTCCGAATGCACATGCGCGGCAAGAGGCGCACGCGCATTTAAACCGCCCATAGGAAAGCATTACTCTGAAACGGCTATGTTATCAGCTGCAGGGTTAAAACTAGAGGGACCTGGCACCCAGACCACTTCATTGAGCTGATGTGATCTGGGTGTCTGTAGTGGTCCTTTAAGTGTGTGTGCATACCGCGGTCGCGGGGTCGCAGCCCTGCAACCCCTGCGACCAGGTGCCCGCCGCCAGTTGTCGCGTCCCTGACCCGCTCCGAGTAAGCGGGAGCCACTGATCAATTTTCGCACCGGGGCCCCATGGGTCATGTGTACGCCACTGCCCCACTCCCTCTAACATGTAAGCTCACTGAGCAGGGCTCTCAATCCCTCTGTTCCTGTGTGTCCAACTTGTCTGGTTACAACAACATGTCTGTTTGTCCACCCATACAGCGCTGTGGAATTTGATGGCGCTATATAAATAACATAATAATAATAATAATAATAAAATGTGTTAAATGGTTGTATATAAAAGGCGGTCAGGTTAGCTATGACTGACTGGCAATTACATGTTGGTGAAAGTTAAAAGTTTTGGAATTAAAGTGAAAAAATGTATGTGAATATGTTACCGTTATCAAGTTATGGTGGTATGCCCCTTTTAAGCTTTAAATAAACACTACGACCTAGCCCATTGAAATAAACTGTGTCTGTGTTTATTGTGTAGTCTAAATTATTTATGCAAAATATTGCCTACCATACATATAGCTCTTTAACAAGTTTGTTCTATTTTATCCTATTAAACTCTGTCAGCCCTTTTTTTATTCCTTACTGAGTAAGATGACATTTATACAAAAATATATATAGGGACATTTCTTGATATAACCTGATAATTATACTTAATTAACTCCATAAACTTCTTGATAAGGAATATTTATAAGTCAAATTAATAATTAGAAGACAAAAACACAAACAAAAATATTAGCATAGGATATTCTTGGAGGTTCTTGGCAGCATTAACATGCGCTATTAATAAATAGGGGGACAAAAATAGACCATCTCATCTGTCAGCAACTGAATTTGTATCTAAATGATTAATAAATGTTTATACGGCATCACCATATAATCACTGATATGACACAAGTCAAAAATATAAGTAGAAAATGTATAAAATATTCAAATATAATTCATTTTACCTGGAGGTTTAATTAATTACTAATCGTTTGGTGTTATTCAGAAGGAGATACGGCGTAATGAAAGGAAATTGTTAATCTTAAAATCCAATAGTCAGAAACTACCAGGGAACTGTTTGGGCTGGATTATCCCAATTAGGCTATTTTGGGGCAAAATGTTAATTTGCCAATTTGTTAATTCTTCGCTATTTCTGGTTTATTGATTTCGTATGGTTTGTAATACACTGCCTAAGCTATTTTATTGGTCTATAAACTATGCAATATTTTTTTTTGGTGGACTGAAAGCAAACTTTATGGATTTAATCACTAAAATCACTAAAATCTAAATTGTGGTGAATTAAAAAGCTGAGCTCTGATTAAAACTAGTTGGAGAATTTGTAAAAATCATTAATGCGTGCCTATATTTTGCAGCTCGGCATTCAATTCACTGCAACTCAGAGTGTAATGAATATATCCATTGGAATGAAATAGAAAATAAAGAAATTAAAAACAGCCAAATTTGATTTAAGTATGATTTACTTAATCCCCAGAATAGCACTTATTTTATATAAAATCAATGGTTGATAATAGAATACTTTAAAGGGACACTATAGTCACCTGAACAACTTTAGCTTAATGAAGCAGTTTTGGTGTATAGAACATGCCCCTGCAGCCTCACTGCTCAATCCTCTGCCATTTAGGAGTTAAATCCCTTTGTTTATGAACCCTAGTCACACCTCCCTGCATGTGACTTGCACAGCCTTCCATAAACACTTCCTGTAAAGAGAGCCCTATTTAGGCTTTCTTTATTGCAAGTTCTGTTTAATTAAGATTTTCTTATCCCCTGCTATGTTAATAGCTTGCTAGACCCTGCAAGAGCCTCCTGTATGTGATTAAAGTTCAATTTAGAGATTGAGATACAATTATTTAAGGTAAATTACATCTGTTTGGGAATTAATACATCATCTTCAAACTCTGGCAAGCTAGAGTCCTGAGCCATATCACTACTGACATTCAGAATGCTGGGTCTTCTGATACTATAAGGACAGCAAATCTTAAAGGATGAGCATGGACACCTTGTTATATCGGTTACACTGTGAAGGGCACATGTCAGGTAATTCTAGTTGTGAGTGGAGCAATCACCATGGAAACCAATGGAATGTTACAGCTCCAACTTGTATCACAACACTCCACCAACATTGCCCTTTGTACATAACCAATACTGTGTTTCAGGGACCACCTTTTGGCTGTTAGGGGTATATTCTCTAAACAGAGAACTGAATTGCAAAATCTATCCAGACTACCAGAGTTACAAGAATCCTCCACCTCAGTCATCATACCTTGATATATTTTCTACATTTTTCAATTCTCTGCGAATGCACTGCTTAGGGAATAAATCATTCAGCTCTAGTCACTCAGGGGTTAATTACTAAATAGTTTATGGTGGAGAAAAAACACCAAAAAAAGTTTGGCCATTTTCTGAAATTACTTTAATAAAAAATGTAGCAGTTTTGGAAAGTATTTGTTAATTGTAATTATGTCGAAGAAGAGTGGTGTTGAGATTAAAATAAAAGGGTAGATGGGCATATTATATCATTTTTGTATGAATTGTTTTTATTATATTTCTTTATTTTTCCTTGAACCCTCTGCAAACCGAAATTCACATTGAATGGCATTGAATGGGAATTATGAGAGCATTAATAATGTACATAACCTTTTTTTCTAATGCACAGTGCACTTCGGAACTACCGAACTTCGGCAATTCGTAAGCAGCCGAATGTCCGAATTGTAATAAATTAACCTACAAAGAAACCTAAAAATTGCCTTTTCAGGAAGTGTTTAGGAAGGCTGTGTAAACAAAGTGATTTAATTCCTAAATGGCAGAAAATTTGTGAAAGAATCACATTCTTACATTGGAAACAATGCAGCCACCATCTTTCATTATCTGTTTATACAAAATGTCACATCTAAAAGCCAATCAGATTTTGCCCAGCCACAGATGGTCACTCAGACTGCTGTGTACTCCAACTCCCACTGCACCTATTACTCAAAAGCCTCTTTGAATCCTGCTTGCAGTCAGGTGGTTGTATAAGACAGAAAAAAGCATAAATAACACCAGAGTCAGTGAGGTCGCCAGCTTTATTGACATACTGTTCCCTCAGCAGAGAGCATAAAAATATTAAAAAATAAACCACAGACAGAATCCAGTATAATTCAGGTCTAAATAATTACACTTTGTCCCTCTGTGTAGAATGAGTGTGTCCTTTCTATAGCAACGCTCACTTTCTCTCCAAAAAGAGAACAAGTAGCTAAATGTAGAGGTCAGTTTTCCCAGCCTCCAAAGCATGGTGTAAGAAAGGGTCAGAAACATCTCTCTAACATCAAACTGTATCTCATATACATGGAGAAACCAACAGCTAATTATTATTAACCCTCCTCATTGCTATTAGCAGACACTTCCTTCTCACCTGGGCCGCGCCGAAAATAACTCTGATTAAAGTAAATCACATACGCTTTATTTTTTAGAAAGTACAAATATATAGACACGCACATACATTAATTTCAGGCAGGGTTACTCAATTGTTGGCAATTCAATGTTAAAAGTAAAAACTGCTTAAAAATTTTCCATTTCATCTATTTGAACCTCAATTTAAATTCCTGACAATTCATACTGCAGTGAATAAACGTATCTGAAAATAAAGATTATGTAGGAGCTGTGTCTCTGGACACAACCAAGACAAACCTCTACAATAACCGGCCATTTCCAGCACTCAGAGAAGAACACAAAGCTTTCAATGATATGATATTGGGCTGGAGAAATCGAGATTCCTTACCGACATGTCGTACATTACGCGAATAGTGATCTGTGATGTTTTATATGAAATTTATCATAATCTGCAACTAATTATGCTACTTGCTAAACCTATTTGGGTTCAGGTAACCAATTAAGTAGCCAGGTGGCTCTCATTAGCCAACAGTGCGTAGTAACCTGAGAATTACACTCAGTGGGTTTCAAGGCCAGCTGTATGCTGGGAGACGTGAAACATAATCACAAATTTTCCATTTAAAACTGCTTAGAAATATAACATAATAGAAATAGTTCGGGATTTTATCCTTTAGTGCTTAACCCATTCAGGAAACAGATGCGGCAAGCAGCCCCACCCCTGATCCTGAAGTATTTAGCGTAAGGCGGCCTGATTGTGTGGTTCTCATGAAACGAGTAAAGTGTCTGCCGTCTTCCGGCGTTTCCTTCAGAGTCATATAAACATGCTCCATTTAAGGACCTGCACCCGACAGGTAGAAGGACACCCTGTATTATCTAATGAGCACATTTAGGGGAGCAGAATATTTATGTAAAGTTACGCAGCTCACCTTTCGAGCTGCAGGAAATCTGCTATTGAGTCGAATTCTTGCTGTGCTCGGATTGGTTGAAGACTCCAGGCATCCAATCAGAATGCAGCTTTGATTGAAATGGTTGCACTAGTATTTATCTTTTGTCTATTCTCTCCCATAGTTCCCAGCTTTCTGTAACACGTAAACTGTAGGTGCACTGTCGACCTGGTCTACCAATGTCCAGGCCATCCACTGATATAAAGACTGGTCCTGTAACAATACGTCGTGACATAACGGGCATCACCCAGGAGGTTATAGACCCTCAATGTCAGAATCAAATCACCATTTAAGGGAACTACTGTCACTTCTCTGAAGCATTACCGGTTTCTCATTGGGTCAGCCAAGTGAATGCTGATGCAGTGGAATTAAGAAAACATGTCATATTTAGTTACAGAAATGTTCAGTTAGCTATTCGGTTGGGCAAAAATCTCCCAAGTGTCTCTTTAAATGATGAATTACAGACACAGGTGATAACGTACGGTATGCACGGCAATGAACCCCAAATCTCATACAATAATGGTTTCGTTATTATATTGAACGTCTTGAAGACATGACACACAATGTAATTCTGGGACCAACAGCTGTCACCATGGAAACCCAGGGAGGATTCCTGCCATTTGTAGCACACTGCCGCCCCCTCGAATAAACATTTATTTTCTAATATGTGGAGACGTTCGAATTGTAGAAGTTATTGAACTTGTTTAGTTTATTGGGGGCAGACATTACTGCATTCTGATCTACAGTGCACTCTGGTCACTGACCAGGATTTAAATTCCAGTTGTTTTCTGATTGGATGAAGACATCCATCGCCCAATCAGAACACAGCCTTTATTTCACCTTTCCTGAAACATTCTTTATTCGGTTCCTAGAAAATGGTGCAATTTCTTGCTGCAGTAACACTGAGTAATAAGTAGCTATTTGAACCTTCTTGATATGTGATCCTGCTTCGCTGTGCTTGATATCATGACATTAGCAGTCTGTTAGATAATGAAAGATTATAGTAAACTGGAAAAAAACAGTGCTAAGTCCAAAAACATTTTAAATCCCCCTTGTTTATAGTAAAAGCCAGTCCCCATAGACTGATTTTCAAAAGGTGACTCAAACACGTCAACTTATTTCTAAATGCTGTGAATTGTCCATGGATGGAATTTATAATTCACCGCTCGGAGGCAAACACATCTGTGGTCAGGAACTGTATACCACCCCCATTAGACACTGGTCACAATAACACCCAGCGCACACAGATTGCGTTTTAGTGAGGGGCTACGTTACAGAAGTCAAACATTCTTACAAAGGAAGGAGCAGACACAACAATGAAGGGTCGTTTTATGCATCGAAATTACAGCAACCTACTCTCTTTATTGAAACAGTTCGCATATTGCTTAAATCTAAATAAACGTGACAAGGCTTTACCTCCGAGCCACGACACTGCTGGTCAGAAAGCTGTAAAAATATGTGAAATGTACAAGGACGCAGCTCCAGGGACAGAACGCACACTGTGATTGTCAGCAACACTGTGTCCAGACACGGTTTATGCAATTCATTCACATTATATACTAGATCTCTGAGAACAGAGTCCATGTGGCTTCAAATATAAAAATAGACATGTCTGCTTTGCCGTCATTACTCACATCAAGAAGAAATTCTGCTAAAAAGTCAGTGATGAGATTCATACTATAAACATGTCAGCATTTAAACCTCAAATACTAATCTACCCATAAGATAAAATCTCGAGGTTCAGAAGCCCCTGAATGTTCAATAAGTAATAACACAGGACATGTTTACTAACTAAGCACATTAATTTGCCCCCACTAGCGCCTGGCAATCAACGAAGGCACCCAGCAGAATTAGACGACACGGACGTTCCGTACGGTGACTGCAATGAAACCTGTGCTGGGCAGGAACAAATATAACAGATGATCTCCTTGAATTTAGAACAAACAGCTTAATGTACCCATTCCACATCTTTCAAGGTGAACACACATCGTTTTTTAAAAGTACTTAAAACGTACGATAGCATTTTGGATATTAAACATCCCATTTTTGATAAATTGCATCCTACAATGTTAGCGAATCTAACAATCCAATCACTTAACATCAGATTCCTTCTTTCCTGCTTTGAGACGATTACAGAGTTTCATAGAAGCATGTGAGACCTACGGGATGTGCGATATTCAACAGAAATGGAGATGTTTTGTTCTGTGTATTTATTTTATTTTGCCGGCCCTTGCAGATTTCATCAAATTGTGGCCACTGCACCACTGAGTCTTCTGTCGACAACTATGACTTTCCAAACTGCGAAAAAAAGGCACGAATTAAACACAGAAAGGTGAGCCATGTGAGAATGCTGTGCGAGGATATTTTGCAGATGGGGTTGTTTGTGCTTAAATCCAGCAGTCAGTAGATGCACAGTGAGAATGTGGCCCCCTGGACATGTCACAGTGTACGAAGGAATGGGAGTTGCCATTCACGAAGGTCTTGGTTTAAAATGAATGTCAATCTTTCCATCAATCCCACTTACCTTCTCCCTACACTCCATCACTCTGGCACTGACCCAATGGAAACCCTGGGAAAGCCATTCATCCCAAGTGGGTACCGTCATAAAATCTGAATTCTGGACTTTGCATTCAGTCATACCCCAGATTTCTAGTTTTGTCATATATATAGATGTTATTTGTCTTAACTTTAAAGTGTAGATATCATGTAATCTTTGATGCATATATATATTCCCTATACCCACTTTAACTATTTTTCAAATACAATAAAAACTCGGTGACTTTCCATAAACTTTAAATGGGGAGCACCATAGCCGCTGCTACAATAATCCACAATTAATATATTGTGCCGCTTGTATAATTATCCATTCTTTAAATTATCAAAAATGAAAAAAACAAACACATGGGGAGGAATGGGGCAGGGGGGCGATTTCTACAGAATTCCTAGGAAGACCTTTTTAATATTATATTTGTCCTAATATTTTTGGATAATTACGGTGACAGTATATTACTGATACAAAGTGCTGGCCGCTGACTTCCATGGATAAAGCCCACACAGTGAGGGGTTATACTGAACAGACTGCTAACCTGCCTTGGTATAAGCAGCCGAATCTGACCTGGGTAAAATAGATTGCTACACTTTTAAAATAACTTAATGGCATTTAGAATTTTTGAAATAAGGTGCTAATTCTCATAGATAATCCCAATATTATACACTTTGTGTAACGTAACTGTCCTATAGCAGCTAAAAACCAGAGGGAAGTTTAACCACAACTCTAGGATTTCAAATTTCAAGCTAGAATGGCTGAGCTGGAGGATTGACTCAGTTTTCCCTTCCCAGCTTAGTAAATAATAAAGCCCTTTGTTCTGCGTGGCCCCTTTAGGATTGAGGGATTTATGTAAAAAGTTAAGTGCGAGGCTCATGCAGGTGATTGCTTTAAATTGCAAGGATCTGAAAAATAGCAATAATAGCAATAAAATGATGGCAAACATACTGAGATACACCAGGCATGGAGCAGCTCTCTCTACGGCTGCAATGAAGAGAACCGTCTCCTGATGCACAGCGCTGTGTATTAGAACACCAGTCACTGTATCAGACAATCTCCCCCCAAATAGCAAATTCCACGTGCCATTTTCAATTATCTGAATGTGCAGCTTAGTGCTAGAAATTGGTTCCAAGTTTCCAAAGCAAAAAGAATAATATAGAACAGTTCTAATTCAATCCCATTATACACAAAATGAAAAATAAAAGGTTTAAGTGCTATATTTGTGTTAAGTGCAATCGCAGGATACTCGGTTCCAAGTAACTGGCGTTGGAATTGGATTCATTGCCAATGTGAAATGTTGGGACTGACCACACACTGCCTGGCATTGGAGGAAGGGCTGGCACCAATCGCGGCCCAGGATTTACAGAGCGATAGCAAATACAAATTATACAAAGTATATCATGGCAATTAGTGAAATGGAAACTCTGCCACAGCATATGCCACATTTCCAAGATACAATTTACACAAACCTCACTCCTTACTGGGGGCAGTACAATACCAAGTGGCTTATTGGGGGGAACCTGCACACAGTGGGTTTCTGGATTCTGTGATCACAAGCTAAATCTTTCTCAAAACACGTACATCCAGGAATCAGCTATACAAGTCCAAGTGATTACTGTCCAATATTTTGAGATTATTTTCAAAGTATTCATTTTAAAAAATACTCGAGTCATCGGTTAGGAATAATTCTACCTGATTTGAATTTAGCCAAAACTGAAAAATCCATAACGGTAACAATTTGTCTACCTGACTTGAGCATGCCTCCATTATAACCCCTCCCACTGAAGGTATCCCAATTATAACTCCTCCCACTGAAGGTATCTCAATTATAACTCCTCCCACTGAAGGTATCTCAATTATAACTCCTCCCACTGAAGGTATCTCAATTATAACTCCTCCCACTGAAGGTATCTCAATTATAACTCCTCCCACTGAAGGTGTATGCATTATAAACCCTCCCACTGAAGGTGTATCCATTATAACTCCTCCCACTGACGGTGTATCCATTATAACTCCTCCCACTGACGGTGTATCCCTTATAACTCCTCCCTCTGACGGTGTATCCATTATAACTCCTCCTACTGACGGTGTATCCATTATAACTCCTCCCACTGAATCAGACATATTATCCCTACAGGTGCTTCGTTCATAAAACCAACAGGGATTAACGGGATGTTTAGCCATATTTGATCAGATGGACCCCCTGTGAGTATTTACAAAGGCAACAACTCCAAGGTGAAGCTTTACACGTCTGCCCTTCGAGCCTAAATGCACTGCTTTCCAATAAAAATATTTTCTACTGTTTAATATGAGAAACAAGCAGTTTACCCAAAGTCCACATTAGAATTATAAAAGTGCTAAAATTAACTTCATTCATTTCACTAGTTGGAAATGCGATTTTGCTGGTTGAAATGACTCTACAAGCTCATACTGAGTTCATTTCCCAAAGGAATAAAAAAAACAAAAACAAAATGAAAACTCCATTAGGTGCGATGCTATAAAATTTGGAGATACCCAGAAAAGAATCTAGTTAAAAATAACCAAAACATTAGGATAAAAACACGACGAGAATAATAACAGAGTGACGTCTTGCTCTGTGTATATTTGTAGGCCCTAAGAAAGTGACAAAATCTCACTTAAAAATAGAAACTTTTGAGTAAAACAATTTCCTTTTCATATTTTCATGTACACTGGGACCCGGTGACATGCACACTGGGACCCCGTGACATTCACACTGGGACCCCGTGACATTCACACTGGGACCCCGTGACATTCACACTGGGACCCCGTGACATTCACACTGGGACCCTGTGACATTCACACTGGGACCCCGTGACATGCACACTGGGTCCCCGTGACATTCACACTGGGACCCGGTGACATTCACACTGGGACCTCATGACATTTCACACTGGGACCACGTGACATTCACACTGCCTGATGTAGTTTAACGATACTGGGAGACGCCTAAACGGCATCTCTCAATGACTTGCATGAAACAGAAAAGCAAAACAAATTGTCAACAAAATAATCAGTCCTTGTTTGGGGTGTGCTGAAATCAGATTTATGTGAACACATAGCAAGGTATGGGTATACATAAATCAATGTGCATGTATATATTATACACACCACACATATGTGCATGAAAGCTATTAAGAGATAAAAGTGTATTGCATCAATATGGACAAATGCACGTCTGAAACACAATAAGTGCTTTAAGAAAATGTGTGTCTTTCAGTGAGTGCATTTGTCACATGAGTAAAGCAAGTCTAAGAAAACGCTGGAGATCCATAAAGCAAAAAAAACAAACAAAATAAAAATTGACCTACAATCTCACCAGGTAGAAAGGTGGCCAAATATTCGCAGTATGGACTCACGTGTCCACTGGAGCAGGAGGTGTATGGACAATGAATATAACCTTGCAGTCTGTAACTGATATTAAACCATGTGGAACAGATCTCCTGTAAAGTGCCTTATACTCAATTTTAAAACCTTTAACAGGTAAGGTCAGCATTAGCAAAGACCCCTGTACCGGTTCAAACACCCCTTAATATAGTGCTATGGAGGCTGCTTGTACTCATGGCCTAGTCTTTGGAGGGTCAGTTATAAATGAATTTACTTCCATTACTGCAATTAACAGACCCAAGGAATACAGGAACCTCCGTCTTGTAATGTGAGTGATGATGTACAGTCTCATCAAAGGGCCAAGGCTTACCCTGAGCGGGCACGGCACAGACCCCCTCCTAATCTGCTCCTTGCTGTGTACCCTGAGCGGGCATGGCACAGACCCCTCCTAATCTGCTCCTTGCTGTGTACCCTGAGCGGGCATGGCACAGACCCCTCCTAATCTGCTCCTTGATGTGTACCCTGAGCGGGCATGGCACAGACCCCTCCTAATCTGCTCCTTGATGTGTACCCTGAGCGGGCACGGCACAGAACCCTCTTACACCACTCCCTGAGGTGTTCCCTCCTAGGCCCCACACCAAAGTGTTAATGAGGAGCAAAGCACCGGCTCCTCCAAAGCCATCAAAGAGTATCGCGAGCCTCCATCGCCCACTAAGATGGATCCCCATATCTTGTATACAGTTCCAGTACCTAGAGCCAGTTCCCTGAGAAGGCCAAGTTTAGGCAGCTCATCTCAGTCTCTTTACTCCTGCAGACAGTAAGTGCGTGACTCTGGCCATACCTGGGTACTATTTAGCCAGACCTTGTTAGCAGGGTGCTGACAGTGAGATGTGCACCGAGGTCAGTGACCATGTAAGCCCGGTAGATTAAGCAGGTTACTGTCAAGTGCATGAGTAGAGGGCGCAATAGGAGCTGAAAGTGTATTAATATATGCTACAACATTTAGACTTCAAAGTGGGGAGCAACAGGAGCACAGAATCTGCTCATTTAACACAGCTGCTTGAATGAAGGGCTTTTGGCGCTTTAAAAAGTTCAGTATTGCCTCAGGTTAGATAGGGGCATTAGCCAAAGTTTTGACTAGCCGCTGTGTCAGGGGTAGAAGACAGCTGGGTTCTTGTCTCATTTACATTCACCAAGGAGAATTCTGGGAAATCGGCACTGGTGGCTGGCTGCCGCAGGTTCACCTGTCCATTAGCAGTGCTAAACTGAGGTGATATCCCAGTACGTGTACCATGGTACTGAGCTCGAAATGGCTGCTCAAAGGCATTCAGCTGGTACGCCTGGGAGACAGGCTGAGACTCTGCCTTCTTCTGACCTGTCACTTGATCTAGAAAGTCCTGTGCTGAGGAAGAGGGGGCAGGGGATGTGTGGCTCCCATCATCTGCCTCAAAAGTGAAAGAGTGTGGAGAGTCAGTGACGATCAGCCCAAAGTGAGATTTTTCTGAAGTCACTCTCAGTGGGCCCACCAGACCCGGCCGGAGGCTACTAATCGGTAAAGTTGCGTAGACCTGTTTGTCCAGTGAGGGGAAAGTGGCCGGGCTGGCAAGACCTGGGCTTTCAGTGACAAAGCTAAGGCTTGTGTTGTTTAAATAAGCATCATTTTGGCTAGTCCGGTCCAATGCCTGCTGCAAGAACTTTGAGTACTCCTGCAGCATGCTGGCCTTGTCTGAGGACGGGACTTGTGATGTGGCCCCCAGGCTTTCAGTCTGGCTGGATTCTCCCACCTCAGAGGAATTGATGGAAATACTGGACGTCACTTCCGCATCCCCCACACTGAACGAGATCTCGTGCTGGCCGTTAGCTTTGTGTGAATAGTGATCCAGTAGTGTCTGCAGTACCTCATCGGGGATGACATTTTTATCATGGTGTGTTTTTATATCCACAGTAAGCGCTTGGGCATCAATCAGGGCTGCAGCTCCGCTATCATCCATAACACTGGCCACGGCTGCCTGCGTTGCCGATGGCTGGGACGCCATGGTTCCCACATTAAGGGCATATTCCCGGTTGCTGGTGGCTGCTTGTAAGTACCTCTTCTTCTTGGAGAACTGCATAGCCTCGTCATAACTGACACTGCTGTTTGATTGTTTGCTGGTCCCTTCCTGCATGGGGTCTCCGTGGTCCATATCTGAATTGCTTCCAGAGTCCAGCAACGCTTGCTTGTCCACTAGTTCAAATGTATACTTGGCCACTTTGCCATCATCAAAAGCGGACAGTGGAGACATGGCCTGGCTGTGGTCCATTGCCTGCTTAATGCTCTTCTTGCTGCTCACCTTTTTCAGCAGCAATTTAGGTGGGTTTGAGTCCCCGGACACGCTTTCCTGTAAGTGCAGTCCGCTGACGGATGTGTGGGGCATTTCTACAGAATACTCTGCCACCATGTACTCGTCTTTTACTTTGGTGCTGTCAGGGAACAAGGGCAAAAAGTCGTTCTTCTGATCCAGTTTATCCAGAGATCCTTCTTTCTCACCAAGTCCCAGAAACTTCATTTTGTCAATTTTTGGTTTCTTTTTCAGTAAATGTCCGTCTTTGGGCACAGCTGAGAAGCCAAGATCACCCACATCAGGAGAAAGAAGCCCCCCTTTGCTGGCACATTTTCCAGGCTTCCGTTCCCGGTTTTCATGGCACATGCGCTTGTGTTTAAGTACTCTGTCTGTTCTTGAGAAATACTGCAAAAAGAGGAAAAAAGTGAAACACAGGCATTAACACAGACACATTTTGACTCATCACATGCCCAAGCGAGGACTGACTGACAGCTACAAACAGTTCCACAGGAGATTACAATGGAGATATAAGCTCATTCTCTGCTTGTGAATGGTCACAAATAAGAGAAAAAAGATTCAATCTGTCATTTCACTCTTACTTACTGCTGGGGGGGTTTGCTTCCCCCACTGTTCCCGACAGATGCAAACTACCAGATTGTATGAATTATCTTACTATTGTAATATACAAAATAGGAGATTATTCTTATAGCATGTGCACTGGTGTTACTATAAATACACTCACCTGCCGACATTGCTCACACTGGTATTATTATAAATACTCTGACCTGCCGACATTACTCACACTGATATTATTATAAAAACTCTGACCTGCCGACATTACTCACACTGGTATTACTATAAATACTCTCACCTGCTGACATTACTCACACTGATATTATAAATACTCTCACCTGCCAACATTACTCACACTGGTATTACTATGAATACTCTCACCTGCTGACATTACTCACACTGGTATTACTATGAATACTCTCACCTGCCGACATTACTCACACTGGTATTACTATGAATACTCTCACCTGCCGGCATTACTCATACTGGTATTACTATGAATACTCTCACCTGCCGACATTACTCACACTGGTATAAATACTCTCATCTGCAAACATTACTCACACTGATATTATTATAAATACTCTCATCTGTTGACATTACTCACACTGGTATTATAAATACTCTCACCTTTCAAAAATACTCACTGATATTATAAATACTCTCACCTGCCGACATTACTCACACTGATATAAATATTGGTATTAATATAAATACTCTCACTGGTATTATTATAAATACTCTCACCTGCGGACAATACCCTCACTGGTATTATTATAAATACTCTCACCTGTGGACAATACTCTTACTGGTATTATTATGAATACTCTCACCTGCGGACAATACTCACACTGGTGTTATTATAAATACTCTCATCCTCCCGATATAACTCACTGATATTATAAAAACTCTCACCAGCAGATATTACTCACACTGGTATTATTATAAATACTCTCACTGGTATTATTATAAATACTCTCACCTGCAGACAATACCCTCACTGGTATTATTATTATAAATACTCTCACCTACTGACAATACTCACACTGGTATTATTATAAATACTCTCACCTGCGGACAATACCCTTACTGGTATTATTACAAATACTCTCACCTGTAGACAATACTCTCACTGATATTATTATAAATACTCCTGCCTGCAGACAATACTCTCACTGATATTATTATAAATACTCTCGCCTGCAGACAATATTCTCACTGTTATTATAAATACTCTCACAGGCAGGCAGTATTAATACAGGTATTGCCATGAATACGCTCTCCTGCAGACAGTGCTCACACTAACGTTATTATAAAGAACGTAAATATTGTCCTCAGCAGACAGTACTAGGTCTTTCAGTACAATAAATACTCTCACCTCCAGATAGTACTCACATTAGTATTACTAAATACTTTTCACTGGTATTACAATAAGTATTCTAACCTGCAGACAGTACTCGCACTGGTAGGGTTTCTCCCCGCTGTGTGTTCGTTTGTGCCTCTCCATGTGGTATTTCTGAATGAAACGCATGCCACATTCATCGCAGTGGAATGGTTTCTCTCCTGTACAAAGCATCAAACACACGGTTAGAGTAGAAATTTAAGATCATTCCAATATAAATTATGATATAACTGGAAGCACTGAGCAGCTGGGAACTCAAAGCTTAGAAAGCTGCTTTCCTTGCCGGGGGTCCTGCCAGTTAGAATAAATGAGACCCTATTATTACCCTGTGAGCTTTGCTAAAAGGACACTAACTGCACTGCAAGCCACGCCAATGAGACCCACGGCCTAAATGCAATACCGAGGCCGGTAGGTATACCCTAAAAAGAGCAGACGCTACAGTCTGATCACAATGAGGGCTGTAACCTTCTCAGAAGCCTCGCTCTTTGTATTTTTTACATAAAATAATACATTTGTTCGAGCCCTACTGAAAACCCAGAATTCATTATTTCCCTAATATTAAGACATTCTTAAAGTCTAATACAAGCAATCTTCATTTGGAAAGTTAAAAGCGGTCATTTTAAAAGTCTATTACAGGAAACACTGGAGGGGGGTTAAAACAAGCCTCGTAGAATTAACATGAAAATTAAGTCACATTACGTTAAATCATCGAGTCTTTACTGATTGTCTCTGGCTTCCTTCTCATAATGCAGTTTTAGTTTCATGTCGGAGACGCCATTGTCAATATCTACCCTAATCACTGCAGTGTTGGAAGCTCTGCCTCGTACCCCACATCTGGGCCCTAACATACCACAGAATGCAATCTGCTAAGACATCGACAGCTTGCATTTTAGAATGGCGTTTAATGGGAGAAAACAGCATCACACGGTTCCATCACGATTAACAGCAAAACATAGAGGCATCAAACACAGCATCCAGAAAGCAAAGCGGCGTTACTCACCGGTGTGGATCTTTTCGTGTCTCTGCAGCAGATACTTCTGTATGAAACGCATGTCACACTGACTGCACTGAAACGGTTTCTCACCTTGAACAATACAATCCACAGCCATCAATTACACTCTGAACTATGTAAACACTATCCCACCTCAAAGGTCACGCTCTCTTCTAGGACTGGCCAGTGCACCCCGATATCTCCCTTCCTCCCTCTCAATAAGATTCCCAAAGCTTCCCACAACTCCCCCTTAAACTGGTCAAGGTACCCCAAGCTCCCCCCAAATAGGTCAAGATTCACAAAATTCCAAAAAACTGGTCAAGATTCCCAGAGCTCTCCTGAACTCCCCCAAAACTGGTCAACATTCCCCAAGCCTTCACAAACACCTCCTAGAACGTGTGAAGATTCCCTGTACTTTTCCTGAAATTCCATAGAACATGTCAAGACTCCCCAACCTCTCTTTGACTCCCCCTAGTACTGGTCACGGACTTCCCTCTCTCACAAAATTGTACAAATGATGAATCCCTGTTCCCAGATTCCCTGCCGGTATTACTCCCTGCTATATATCTTGTGATACACTCTCACGCTGAGTACCACCATTTCATACCAAATCAAGCAGCATGGAATCTCTTCAGCACTTGCCCTGATCTCCGACAAACAAGGTCTCCCAGCATGCCATGTGAGTACTGAAGATAAGTCAATTGCTTATGTGATATTGCTCAGCTACAGGCCTAACCAAGATAGCTCACATGGAAGACACATGGATTCCCCTATGGAAGGCAGAGCTGAACCACAATGTGTTTTGGTAAAAAGAAGAATCCGGCCATTTAATTCAATGAGTAGAAGCCCATCTATAGTGTATTTTATGCCCAGATCTGTAGTTTTATCAATCACTAACTGCCAAAAACCACTGACGTTACAATTTAACTTCAGTGGTAGACAGACAGTAAGACTAGTACAAAGTGCACAGACACAATTCATGCTGCATAGAGAACCAAAGGTGCAGAACAGGGGGCTTGCACAGGTTAACAGAGTTATACACAATTGTTGCTGTGATGGTATTTAGAAGTTCATCCTACAGAGATAGCAGATTGGGCCGAGGCCAGTAACAGTGCGGAAAAGCAGCACAGATTCCAATATTGCAGTGATCTGGGCGGAATGCAATGATTACACACATTTACAGTGACAGTCACTGGGGTTTAAAGCTGTCAAACAAAGTGGACATTGGATCTAAACAAACACAATGCTCCGTAAAGAGCTGTTTGAAAAGTGCCACCATTTATTGCAACTCGGGAAGAAAGCTCCCAAATCCATCCTTTCAAACCTATTACCCAAGTGCAAACCAGTTGGATTTACAGGAACAAGAATAATTTGTCACCTAGAATTAATATGTATGCATGTTTTAACACGCATCTGCCACGTTTACTGCCACTGTCACTAACCGCCACAGAATCCCAAGCAGCAAACATTGCATCACTGAAAGGAAACCGGTTCATGCATTTGTTAAAGCTTCTGCATGAAAGAGTTCAGAGAGCATGGGGACTTTGCGGACATGGCCCGTGGTACCTGTGTGGATGAAGACGTGTCTCTGAAGGTGATAGTTGGTTCGGAAGGCTGCATTGCAGTGCTCACAAACATGGCACTTTGGGATCTTCAGGCCCAGCGAGCCATCTTCATTAATAGTGAGGATCTAAAAAGAAATACATTTCCCGATAACAATCTATTCACATCAATAATCACAGCTAACAATAAACCCCTAACCCCCTTCAAACTCATCCCTTCCTAATCCAATGTCTGATTACAAACAGCGAGGACCCCTGGAGAGTGTCGGAAACACCACCAGCATTGAGGACCCCTGGAGAACGTCGGACAGACCGTGTGTTTAATGGCAGCAAGGAGGACCCCTGGAGAGTGTCGGACAGACCGTGTGTTTAATGGCAGCAAGGAGGACCCCTGGAGAGTGTCAGACAGACCGTGTGTTTAATGGCAGCAAGGAGGACCCCTGGAGAGTGTCGGACAAATCGTGTGTTTAATGCCAGCAGTGAGGACAGACCATGTGTTTAATGCCAGCAGTGAGGACCCCTGGAGAGTGTCGGACAGACCGTGTGTTTAATGCCAGCAGTGAGGACCCCTGGAGAGTGTCGGACAGACCGTGTGTTTAATGGCAGCAGTGAGGACCCCTGGAGAGTGTCGGACAGACCGTGTGTTTAATGGCAGCAAGGAGGACCCCTGGAGAGTGTCAGACAGACCGTGTGTTTAATGGCAGCAAGGAGGACCCCTGGAGAGTGTCGGACAGATCGTGTGTTTAATGGCAGCAGTGAGGACCCCTGGAGAGTGTCAGACAGACTGTGTGTTTAATGGCAGCAGTGAGGACCCCTGGAGAGTGTCGGACAGACCGTGTGTTTAATGCCAGCAGTGAGGATCCCTGGAGAGTGTCGGACAGACCGTGTGTTTAATGGCAGCAGTGAGGACCCCTGGAGAGTGTCGGACAGACCGTGTGTTTAATGCCAGCAAGGAGGACCCCTGGAGAGTGTCGGACAGACCCTGTGTTTAATGGCAGCAGTAAGGACCCCTGGAGAGTGTCGGACAGACCGTGTGTTTAATGCAGCAAGGAGGACCCCTGGAGAGTGTCGGACAGACCGTGTGTTTAATGCCAGCAAGGAGGACCCCTGGAGAGTGTCGGACAGACCCTGTGTTTAATGCCAGCAGTGAGGACCCCTGGAGAAGTGTCGGACAGACCGCGGTGTTTAATGGCAGCAGTGAGGACCCTGGAGAGTGTCAGACAGACCGCGGTAGTTTACGGCAGCAGTGAGGACCCCCGTGAGTTTGACAGACGGGTGTGTTTAATGGGCAGCGGGGTGAGTAACCCCCGGAGAGCGTCAGATGAACGTGCAAGTTGAGCCGCGCAGTGAGCACCCCCTGAGAGTGTCGGACAGACCGTAGGTTTAATGGTGCAGAGGACCCTGGAGGAGCGTCGGACAGACCGTGGTGTTTAGCAGCAAGGGGAGGGACCCCTGGAGAGTGTCGGACAGACCGTGTGTTTAATGGCAGCAGGGAGGACCCCTGGAGAGTGTCAGACAGACCGTGTGTTTAATGGCAGCAAGGAGGACCCCTGGAGAGTGTCGAACAGACCGTGTGTTTAATGGCAGTAGTGAGGACCCCTGGAGAGTGTCGGACAGACCGTGTGTTTAATGGCAGTAGTGAGGACCCCTGGAGAGTGTCGGACAGACTGTGTGTTTAATGGCAGCAAGGAGGACCCCTGGAGAGTGTCAGACAGACCGTGTGTTTAATGGCAGCAGTGAGGACCCCTGGAGAGTGTCGGACAGACCGTGTGTTTAATGGCAGCAATGAGGACCCCTGGAGAGTGTCGGACAGACTGTGGGGTTCAATGGCAGCAAGGAGGACCCCTGAGAGGCCTGACAGACCGCGTGTTTAATGCCGGCAGCAGGAGGGACTCTGGAGAGTGTCGGACAGACCGTGCTGAATAAGCAACCGAGGACCCCTGAGAGTGTCGATACAGACCGTGTGTTTAATGGCAGCAGTGAGGACCCCTGGAGAGTGTCAGACAGACCGTGTGTTTAATGGCAGCAGTGAGGACCCCCGGAGAGTGTCAGACAGCCCGTGTGTTTAATGGCAGCAGTGAGGACCCCCGGAGAGTGTCGGACAGCCCGTGTGATTAATGGCAGCAGTGAGGACCCCTGGAGAGTGTCGGACAGACCGTGTGTTTAATGGCAGCAAGGAGGACCCCTGGAGAGTGTCAGACAGACCGTGTGTTTAATGGCAGCAAGGAGGACCCCTGGAGAGTGTCGGACAGATCGTGTGTTTAATGGCAGCAGTGAGGACCCCTGGAGAGTGTCAGACAGACTGTGTGTTTAATGGCAGCAGTGAGGACCCCTGGAGAGTGTCGGACAGACCGTGTGTTTAATGCCAGCAGTGAGGATCCCTGGAGAGTGTCGGACAGACCGTGTGTTTAATGGCAGCAGTGAGGACCCCTGGAGAGTGTCGGACAGACCGTGTGTTTAATGGCAGCAGTGAGGACCCCTGGAGAGTGTCAGACAGACCGTGTGTTTAATGGCAGCAGTGAGGACCCCTGGAGAGTGTCGGACAGACTGTGTGTTTAATGGCAGCAGTGAGGACCCCTGGAGAGTGTCAGACAGACCGTGTGTTTAATGGCAGCAGTGAGGACCCCTGGAGAGTGTCAGACAGACTGTGTGTTTAATGGCAGCAGTGAGGACCCCTGGAGAGTGTCAGACAGACTGTGTGTTTAAGGCCAGCAGTGAGGATAATGACCTGGAATAAAGGGGCTAGTCTGTCTGTTCTAGGGCCGGGCAAGGTGTCTAGTACCTTGGCCGGAGATCGCTGCTTTCTTTTCTTCTTTTTCTGTAAATCCACCGGCTCCAGAACCTGCATATTCTCCATTATCTGACAATCCGGTTCCTCTTGGAATTTCATTTCTTGCTTCACATGAACCTGGGAGGAAGCAGAATAGAAGTCTACGACTCACTGATAGTTCCTAGATGGTGTAAGAAATCCCCCAGAATACTGCTCAAATAAAACCGGCAAGCTTTGCGGGTTAGTGGGTAAGTTAGGGCGCTGGATATTGTGTATTCCCAGAATACTGCTCGTATTACTAATACTGCTGACTTCTAACCTGGGGTGTACACCGTACGAACTAATGACTTTCATTTATCCAGTATACACTATAACATGGCTTTCTAGGACAGCTTTACAACAACTTGTTAACCCTCAATATGCTGACAGTGTGCTGCAGTGAGAGACATGTAGAGTCAGTGGTTAATCCCCCGTAAAAGGGTGGGCTGATAAATAGTTAACACGCGTTGGCTGACCATCTGCAGCAGTCGGAGGAGTTTTCTAGTTCAAACATGGTTAACTACCATTAAGAAGGCTTATTATATGGTATAGTGATTGGGGGAGACCAGTAAGATGGTGACTTTGTGCTACAGTCCCAGGGAGACTATTAGTAAATAAATGGAGAAAGTGACATTCTCAACACCAAAACAACTACAGCTTAATGTAGTCATCTTGATGCCTGGATCTTGTACATGCAGCCTGCCAAATGGAAGCACTGCCGTTTGAGAAAACAGCACTGTTTACATTTGTCAGACAGTGTTTCTCTAACGGCTGTCAATCAGACACGTTTTCCCACGGAAGACTTTAAAACCTGTAGGTATGACAACGCAGAACACAGTTAGGTCTCCATAAAGAAAAAAGAATTGGGAGTCCTTTTTTTTTTTTTTTAGAAGAATCCAACTGGTGCTTTATGACGACTACTGTTTTCTCAATGCTTCTATAAGGAGAAACATCCGATTGGCCAAAATCAGCAGTCCAGTCTTTATATGAAGGAGAAGGGGCTAGAGCAGGAATACCGCGGCATAACTTTATTATTTAACTTTTATGGGGGGCCCAGTAATCTATAAGGGACCAGGGACAATCTGTAGTTTTAAACACTCATATGTATTTATAACGGTGGATTGTCCCTTACACCTAGGAAGTGGCTGACTGTATATTGCAAGCCCTGGGGGAGAATTCTAGATAATTAACGGTTAATCCCTATTAAAATGGCTGATGCAGTCACTGGGGGAGAATTCTAGATAATTAACAGTTAATCCCTAGTAAAATGGCTGACCGTGTAATGCAGTCCCTGGGGAAGTAATCTCTCCTGGGATTCCACCTCTTCCTCATCATTTTTTACGGTCTCCTCCTGCACCATGAGCTCATCCTGTGACATCAGTTCTTCGCGCCCCTGTAAAGCCTCTTGTCCTGCCAGTACAGCCCTCTCCACCAGGCCCGCTTCTGCACATGGCGGCTCTGCTTCTCCCATGCCGGTCAGGCCCCTGGCAGACTGCATGTCGCTTGAGGGGCAGCATTTAAGGAAGATGCTTTCTAATTTATCACCAGCATTCATGCTGCTGCACAAGGTACCTACAAAGAGAGAGGGAGAGTGGTCACTCAGAGCTTGCTGCTATATCGCAGGTGCAAATAAACCTACAAAAATAGAAATACTACTACTTCTAATACATGCTGTGATACACTGCCTGGCCTGTCTAGCTGTGCAATAGGACTTTCCTTAAAAAATCTTGCACACAGCAGCAACATGACAAGGAGCTGAATCCTTTTAAAATATACAGGTTTCATTATACCGGAAAGGTCTGTCCACACCTATTGCCGTCATAAAAGCCCAGATCATAACACTAACTGGAGGCTTCACGGAGGCTGTGATGCATTCAGATTTTACTCCATCGCAAGGAAATACTGATATTCTGGTCCCATTACTCCAATTAACTTTCTTAGATTGGGAGATAGTAATGGCTTTTTACTTGGAATTCTTGATTTATTTATTTTTTATAAATTCTTTATTTGTATCATTTTCCAGTTTCATATTCATGGGTGTGATTACAGAACAAAGAAGAGGCGTTAGGGGGTTCATTCACATATAACAGTGTACAGATAAGGTAATGTTAAGTACATTTGCACATTATGATACGATCAGGTTTGTAGACATGTAATGAGTGCTCACTTCTGTGCCTTCTCATGTGCTATGGTACGTCCTCTGGTTCTGCTTCTTGTTTGTAATTCGTCATTTGCGTTTTAAAGTGAACAACAGGAATAACAATACCAGGGGTAGTTCATTAGTAAAGACAAAGGTATCTCACAATATAGAGGTAAAGGTGTGGGGCAATATAGGGCAGTGTAGGCCGCTGGTGTATCTCTGGCACGTCTAATGTGTGTGAGGGGTACGACTCTGCTGTTGTGGGAGCGGAGCTGGCAGGATGCGTTCCGAACGTGCGAGTGGTCATTCCTGTGTGGTAAAGCGGGTGGAATTCTTGAATTTAAACCCACGTTTTTGAGTCTGTATCGAAAAGTCCAAAAAATTATCTTCAAGCTCCGCCCAAGCACATTTTATTTAAAATAGATGATTTTTTTCTGTCACTTCAACAGAGTTTTTAATTTGTCTATTCATACATGATTGTAGCGGAATGAACCCGAGGACATTACCCTTTATTCCCTCTATGGGCTCTCCGTCTCCTTCCCCCTGTTATTTCATATGTGGGACAGATCACCTTGTCCCTGGATGATCCTGATATTTGCCCTGGTTGCATGGTTGCGTTCGTGGGATCTGAGTGCTTTTCGGATATGTTGGGCACTCAGTCCAGGCTATCCAGGGATATAGGACTTGAGGGGGTACTTTATTGTTAACTGTATGTTTTGGGGTATTATTATTGTAAATAGAAACATAGAATGTGATGGCAGATCGGAACCATTTGGCCCATCTAGTCTGCCCAAGTTTCTAAATACTTTCATTAACCTGAACTTATCTTATAGTTAGGATAGCCTAATGCCTATCCCATGCGTGCTTTAACTCCTTTACTGTGTTAACCTCTAGCACTTCAGCTGGAAGGCTATTCCATGCATCTACTACCCTCTCAGTAAAGTAATACTTTTTAAAAAAAAAAAAACCTTTGCTCCTCTAATTTAAGACTATGTCTTCTTGTTGCAGTAGTTTTTCTTCTTTTAAATATAGTCTCCTCCTTTACGGTGTGGATTCCCTTTATGTATTTGAATGTTTCTATCATATCCCCCCCTTTCTCGTCTTTCCTCCAAGCTATACATGTTAAGATCCTTTAACCTTTCCTGGTAAGTTTTATCCTGCAATCCATGAACCAGTTTAGTAGCCCTTCTCTGAACCTTCTCTAAGGTATCAATATCCTTCTGAAGATACGGTCTCCAGTACTGCGTACAATACTCCAAGTGAGGTCTCACCAGTGTTCTGTACAATGGCATGAGCATTTCCCTCTTTCTACTTATAATACATCTCCCTATACAACTAAGCGTTCTGCTAGCATTTCCTGCTGCTCTATTACATTGTCTGCCTACCTTTAAGTCATCAGAAATAATCACCCCTAAATCCCTTTCATCAGATGTTGAGGTTAGGACTCTATCAAATATCCTGTACTCTGCCCTTGGGTTTTTACATCCAAGATGCATTATCTTGCGCTTATCCACATTAAATGTTAGTTGCTACAGCTCTGGCCATTTTTCTAGTTTACCTAAATCATTTGCCATTTGGCTTATCCCTCCTGGAACATCAACCCTGTTACATATCTTAGTATCATCAGCAAAAGGACATACCTTACCATCAAGACCTTCTGCAATAAAAATATTAAAGAGAATGGATCCAAGTACAGATCCCTGAGGTACCCAACTGGTGACAAGTCCAAGCTTTGAATATACTCCACTGACTGCAACCCTCTGTTGCCTGTCACTCAGCCACTGCCTTACCCATTCAACAATATTGTAATCCAAACTTAAAGATTGCAGTTTATTGATAAGCCTTCTATGTGCAACAGCGTCAAAAGCCTTACTGAAATCTAGGTAAGCAATGTCTACTGCACCACCCTGATCTATTATTTTAGTTACCCAATCAAAAAAAAAATCAATAAGATTAGTTTGGCATGATCTCCCTGAAGTAAACCCATGTTGTCTCTGATCTTGAAATCCATGTGTTTTTAGATGTTCAATAATCCTATCCTTTAACATGGTTTCCAACACTTTCCCCACTACTGAAGTAAGGCTTACTGGCCTATAGTTGCCCGACTCCTCCCTATTACCTTTCTTGTAAATGGGCACAACATTCGTTAACTTCCAATCTTCTGGGACTACTCCTGTTAGCAATGATTGGTTAAATAAATCTGTTAATGGTTTTGCTAGTACACCACTAAGCTCTTTTAATAACTTTGGGTGTATTCCATCAGGTCCCATTGACTTATTTGTCTTTATTTTTGACAGTTGAAATAGAACCTCTTCCTCTGTAAACTCACATGTAACAAATGACTCATTTGTCCTTTTTCCTTCATTTTCATCTGTAAATACTGAACAAAAATATTAATTGAGGCAGTCAGCTAGACCTTTATTCTCTTCTACATACCTTCCTTCTTTTGTTTTTAATCTAACTAATCCTTGTTTTACTTTCCTTTTCTCATTTATGTATCTAAAAAATAGATACTGACTGTGCTATTTTCTCTTCTGTGAATCAGAACTCTCAGGTACACTATAGGAAAAAAGTTTACGTTTATTTTGCTAGTGGGCTATATCTTGCTGGTATAGTTAATTGAGTGGTTTATATGTTAATTCCTCTGAATTCTGAAAATGGAATTATATTGTAACTGCATTTATCGTTACGCTCTCCTTTGAAGTAACAGCTCCCCCCCCAGCCAAGTAATTGCGCAAATCTGATTGCTCAACTGCAATTGGTCGCCCCATCAGATTCTTCTCATAGGGAATCATTGGCCAATGGCTACTATAGTTCCAAAGCACTGAGAGAGGAAGCCATCAAGATAGTGTGAAAGCTGGGAAGCACTCCCTTCTTTTATTACACCAGTAGGGAGGAGACCCTAAACACCCCTAAAGCACTTCAGCTGAATGATGTGATTCACGGCCCCGATTGGTCTCATGGTCTCTCTCTCTAATCTGCTATGTCTTGTTATATTAAACAAACACTAAAAGAGTTAGAAGGTGTATAGGCCCTTCAGGTGATATGTAGGGTGTATGTATATACAGGTGTTCCCAATCATTATATGTCTTGTTAGATTGTTGGTTATTTTGGGGAGGTTCCGTTTCTTAAAGGACCACTACAGTTCCAGGAAAACAAACTCATTTTCCTGGCACTATAGTATTAATAGGTCCCCCTCACCCTCATGGCCCCCCTACTGCCAGGCTCTAGGGGGGGGAAGGGGTTAAATCACTTACTTTGGCTGAATGCGCATGCGCAGCAAGAGCCGTGCGCGCATTTAGTCAGTCCATAGGAAAGCATTCTCAATGCTTTCCTATGGACGCTGGCGTCTTCTCACTGTGAAAATCACAGTGAGAAGCGCAGAAGAGCCTCAGCGGTTGTCAATAAGACAGCCACTAGAGGCTGGATTAACCCATTTTTAAACATAGCAGTTTCAGTTTACAGCAGCCAGGGTTAATTCTAGAGGGACCTGGCACCCAGACCACTTCATTGAGCTGAAGTGGTCCTTTAACATATCCAGACTTTGTAATTCCATTTGTAACAAAATAAAGCTAATTTAGTTTATTATTTACTGAATAAACTGTACTTTCCTTTCAAGCATAACACTTCTATACACACTGTGCTTAATGTAACAAAATGACTTAATTTGTACTTCGCTCAGCTTTTTTCTTTAAATTTTTCCAAAATTTTACAAAGACAGGATGACTTCAAAATGTTAAGAAATTTTACAGCACTATTGTTGAAAAAAGGGAGACAGGGGATCTCCATACACAATAACCTTATAGCTGCAGTTATAATACACTGTGTGCTGGGAGACGGGGACCTCCTTACACCATAACCTTATAGCTACAGTTATAATACACTGTATGCGGGCAGACAGGTGATCTCCTTCCACTGTAACCTTATAGCTGCAGTGATAATACGCTATGTGCGGGGAGACAGGGGATTTCTTTCCACTGTAACCTTATAGCTGCAGTGATAATACGCTGTGTGCGGGGAGACGGGACCTCTTTACACCATAACCTTATAGCTGCAGTTATAATACACCATGTGCGGGGAGACAGGGGATCTGCTTACACCATAACCTGATAGCTACAGTTATAATACACTGTGTGTGGGGAGACAGGGGATTTCTTTCCACTGTAACCTTATAGCTGCAGTGATAATACACTGTGTGCTGGGAGACAGGGGACCTCCTTACACCATAACCTTATAGCTACAGTTATAATACACTGTATGCGGGCAGACAGGTGATCTCCTTCCACTGTAACCTTATAGCTGCAGTGATAATACGCTGTGTGCGGGGAGACAGGGTACCTTCTTACAACGTAACCTTATAGCTGCAGTGATAATACACTGTGTGCTGGGAGACGGGGACCTCCTTACACCATAACCTAATAGCTACAGTTATAATACACTGTGTGCAGGGAGCAGGGGACCTCCTTACACCATAACCTTATAGCTACAGTTATAATACACTGTGTGTGGGGAGACAGGGGACCTTACACCATAACCTTATAGCTGTATAACGCTTCCTCGCTCTCTGTATTAGGGATTCCCTCTGTATAACGC